TTTTGCCTAGGCAATACCTCCAATTTATAGAAGGTGAAGGCTCTATTTGGTTTTCAATAGGTAAAAAGAAGTGTTGGAACCAGCCTATTTCCAACATTTAAAAGGGAGCATTGGGACATTCTTATTTCTAGCAGGTAAAGCTAGGCATTGGAAAATGATTATTTCCTATGGGTAAAAGGAAGTGTCGGAATTGGCTTGTTTCCAGGGGTAATAAGGAGTGCTTGAAGAATATCTCATTTACTCACTCACATTGGAGAACTCAAAGTAATGGGCTTGGACTTTGGTGCTCCCAAGTAGTTAGCCCAAAGTCTTTATTATCCAAGAGCTTTCGTGGGCCTTGTGGACCTCCGTAACCTTCCACACCACAACCCATTGTGCAAGCCCCATGAAACACATGACTTGGGTTCATGTGAGTTTGGTAGGTGATTGGCATAGGAAAAATGTGCTAGCATGGCATGGAGTTATTTGGCATGTGCTTGGAATGCTTGGGCATGAGTTATAGTGGCTTGGGCTTTTGTGTTTAGTGACATATATTAGATTTAAAGGAATAGGTTTTTGGCATGGCATGGATGCTACTAGAATTTGTATAAAAGCTTACATACATATTCATTTTGTTGAATTAATTCCCAAAAATATTATTGGAATTAATACATGACCAAGTTATCCCTTATTTCATACATCATATTGTGCTTTAAATGCCTTCGGGCTTCTCGTGACTTTTTGGACCTCAACAGTCGGAAACCGCCGATTGAAGCTCTACAATTCCGAATTATTCCGAGATTTTTTTGGGGTCAGATCTTGGGTGGATTGAGTAGAAGGGAAAGTGAGGAATCTGTTGTGGGTGGTGGCACTAGCTTGGGTGTCGGACAATGAAGAAATCAGCAGTGAAAGTGGCGGCACTGTGTACATTGATGAGAGAGAAAGGGAGAGGTCGTGAGGAAGAGAGAGAAGAGGAGAGAGAAATGGTTGGCGTGCCTTGTTAAAGAATTTGACTTTCCCAAAATTACGGTTGTGTCACTGCACTTCCGTTACGTTAACTCCCTTGTAAAACTCCAATTACGTGTCTATGAACTCGTGAGAACTAGTTCTACGTAATGGAGTGAAGAAAATTTTAAAAACCAGTCCCGAACAAAAAGTGAACCCTAAACCACTTAGAAACCCTAAAGTAAAACCATCCTTTCACTTTTAAATTTCGAAATTAATAAAAATATCGGGACAAGATGTTACACATAGCACAGGTGACCGGTCGTTTCCGGCACAATGCTCCAGACCTGTCTCGACATAACTACAATCGATCGTCTGGCCATACCAACCGATCGCCGGCTGTATTCCACCGTCCATGCGATCTTTCTCTCGATAAGAATGCGACCGGTCGTTCCGGAACGCCAACCGATCGGCTGCTAGCTTCTCAAGTTTTTCAACCATTGCCAATTAGGTTTGGGTTGAAATACTCAAATTCTAATATTTTATCAAAGCAGGCTATCCATTATAATGCCTAATCGTCTCACGTGCTCCACACTACCCAATAAAAATTGTTTGAAAAATTGAAACATTGCAATAGTTCTTATGAATTGGATGCTCACATTCTAATACTACCTTGCATGAGGCTCGTCTCTTCCTATATTATCATACCTTATTAACTTTCACTTCCTATTTTTTTGATGATAAATGTTTTGTGAAACTATTGTGTTACTAGAATATCTTCATGTCGTGTTATTGATTCACGGACTATATATGAGTGGGGTGATGAGTTTGTACTCTTTAGTCACGAAGGTTTTATGTAATTTATAGATGACCTAACATTCCTTAAAAACACATACAATTTAAATTAGTAGTACATATAGAATTGCCTACATTAGCAAGATGCAAAATTTAATTTTCTTACCAAACAACATCCGAGAATCCCCAATTACAGATTTTTTTTACTCTCTATGAATGAAAAATTTTAATGACCAATATCGTCTGCATGCTGTCTCTCCTTGACTTACCACATTGAGTCTTAATCTTTCCTCTGCTTGAGCTATATATATAGCCCTGTGTGGGTATAGTTTAGAGCACCACATAATTCAATCCTGGAGAGATTAGGGAGTTGCTTTACCATGGCTAGGATGAAGGTGAAGCTTGCATGGATAGAGAACGATAACGCTAGGAAGACAAGGTTCCGAAAGAGGAAGGGAAGCTTGTTGAAGAAAGTTAGTGAAATAAGCACCTTATGTGATGTGGGCGCTTTCGCCATTGTCTATGCCCCAGACAGCGACGAGCCAGATGTGTGGCCTTCTCCCTCAGAGGTGAAAGAGCTAATTGCAAAGTTCCAGAGCATCCCAGAAGCAGAATGGTCCAGGAAGATGACGGATCACGAGACTTACCTGAAGGAGACAATTGCCAAGCTAGAACAGCAGCTAAGGAAGATCAAGAGGCAGAACTATGAGATGGAGATGAATGACATCATGCACGATATTTACAAAGGTATGCCAATGTATCTACTTGAAACTAGTAAAATAAGTGATCTGGCTTCTTTTTTCAGAGGAGAAAATGAAGGGGATCTCAAAAATTATGGAGCGTCTAGAGAAGGTGATCTGGCTTCCACCAGCCAATGTCTCTTCTCAGGCGGGTCATGATGATGAGAATGTTGCTGGAAGGAGCAGCAGCAATGCAGCGGGAAGAATAACTGGAGGCATGAGACTGATGGGTTTTGATAGAGCCCCTGGAGCCCAGGAGGGTCCTATATCATAAAGCCCCACCGGAGCTGTCTTTAAATTTGTGAACTTTGATAGAGCCCCTGGAGCCCAGGAGGGTCCCACATTTTGAAAAGATGCAGCATACATCAGGCTTTGTTTCATGTTTTTTTTCTTTTTCTAACAGCAACCAAATAAAAGGCTTTCTCTACTCCTTTTGTTTTTTGTTTTCTATTTTCTTCTATTTTCTTCTATTTTTGGTTTGATATTTCCTTCTCTCTTTTTTTTTCTTCTTTCTTTTTGCTTTCAATTGTTATAATTTACCTTTAGAATTACTACTTCAATTTTTCTATGTTCCTTCTAATTTTTTTTAAATTATAAATGGGGTAGAAATTTTGTTTTTTGATTTTTTAAAATTATAATTTACCTTTAGAATTACAACTCCAAATTTTGATTTTTTTTTTGGGTAGAAATGTTCATTAAAAAAAGCAAACATAACATAAACATACAATAAAACAAACTAAGTTAATAACAACAAAAATTAACACGTAAAACAAATTACATCATAAAAAAATTCATATAGAGCCTTGGATGTAGTCCCCGTGGGAAAGATACTTTTAGAGCCTAGAATATTCCAACAAATCTCTATCCACCACTTTTAGAGCCCTATTTAAAGACTATGATTGGGGATGAACTAACTCGCGTAACGAGAATTACACGTTTGTGTATTATGTGTTATGTATGATTTGATTTGATTTTTTTTATAAAATTCGGGTGAAAATTTTGGCCACATCACAAACTATGGAAACAGATATTACTAAGCTCATATTTGAAAAGGAACAGGTCATAATATATGTGTAATCTAGAACTCATATATTTGATTCAGCCAATAGTAGAAAAATAACAATTACCATGCTGTGTATATAAGTACGGCAATGGGGCCTGAGTGCGATGACTAATTAAACGGTGTAATACATTAGAAAGGGAAATATTTTGTCCACCCAAGAGGATATAGGGAGATTAACTTTCCAATCTATGACATTAGTTGGTTCAATATAATTGGAACAATTGGATAATCATTTAAAAAGCAACTCAATGGGAAATTATTTAGTCATTCGATTATTATTATTGAAAACCCCATCAGCATGAGGCTATTATATTAAATCTCAATAATATATATATTTTAAAATTTCAGAAATCAAAGTGCTTTATTACCAAATGATTTATGATATAGATGAAAATGATACCTTTCTAAGCCTCTTCTTGAAATTAATTAGAAAGAAAACATTGTCCCATCGATCACCTCCCTCTCTCATCAACTAATGGGAAGAATTTCTTCTTGTCCGAGAGTGAGCCAACCTTCTAAATGATCACTCCTTGTTTTTATGCACATATATATTTAGAATAAGGGATTAGGCGAGATTAGCTCTTCATTATTGGACATCGAATGCACAAACATCCACAATTCTCAAAGAAGGGACTAACACATTCCGGGAGCCCCCAGCCCATACCCTCGATCATGATTTTATTAATAAGGGTTGACTTGTTATTATCTTGCTTGATGTTCTCTTCATATATTTTCTTTTGTTTGTTTGTACTTCGGTTTTGTTTCATTTTTTAGCTTCTTAACCTTGTTTTTGTGTGGGGTTTTAATTTATGTAGGTTAAAGTTTCAAGCTTTTTGTTTAGAAATAAAAGAGTAATATATATTCACCAAAAAAAAAAAAAAAGAGTAATATATTCAATCATACAAATTATTATATTTATGCCATGCAAAGTTGGAACGAGCTAGATTACGAGAAGCGACGTAGCGGTGTTATGGTCAAAAAGTTGTTCATTTTAGAAATTTATAGTAAGAGCCAAGGAAGGAATCGAAAATCTGGCCCCTCTCATCCCATACCTTATTAAGTTTCACTTCCTAATTTAACGATGAAAGGTTCGTATGGCTTTGTAGTTGATTGAACATTCCTTAAAGATACATGTCGCTTCCAAATTGTTCAAGACTTTCCATAAAAATGAATGATATAACCAATTCTCTCACATTTGCCAGATACGACATTAAATTCTCTTACCAAAAACCAATAGTCCGATAATATTCAAGTACAGCTTTTTTTTCACTCCCAATGCATGAATGACCTACAGCATCCTGCACCGACTTCTTTGATTTTTCCAATTTTGTCAAAGTCTAGATAAGGACATTTAGTCTTATCTCAGCTGTCCATGATATATATAAATCCCTAGGGGGCACATAATTTAGAACACGACAGAGTTTGAGCCTAGAGAAGTAGCAAATAGCTTAATTACCAACCAGAAAGCAACACCAACCATGAATAATAACAAGTTGAAAACTGCATGGATAGAGGATGATAAGTCCAGGAAGGCCTGCTATAGAAAGAGGAAGATATGCTTGCTGAAGAAATTAAATGAGCTTACCATTTTATGTGACGTGTCTGCCTTTGTCATCATCTATTGCCCCGAAAAGGACGAGCTGGTTGTGTGGCCTTCCCGCCCGGTGGTGCAAGAACTACTTGAAAAGTTCTTGAGGCTGCCACTAGCAGACCAATGCAGAAAGATGCTGGATCAAAAGGCTTACCTCAAGGAGAGGGCAGCCAAATTCCAGGAGCAAATAAAGAAGGCAAAGAAAAAGAACCATGAGATGAAGATGAAAGACATCTTGCACAAAATTCAAGAAGGTAAGCCACTGAGTGAATTTGAAACTAGCGACCTAATTGATTTCGTTTTGTTTTTGGAGGAGAAGATGCTAGAGATCCAGGAACGGGTTGAGCTTTTGGAGCGGCATGTTCCACAAGGTGCTGGTGACAAAGAGAAGGGGAAGGAGATTGAGAACAATGCTGCAAATATCGCTCGAAATGAGAATATTTTTGGAGGCATCTGCAGCAGCAATAATATGGGAAGAAATGAAAAGAGTGGCTTTAGACTGATGGGTGTTGATATTAAAGTGGGGCATCTACTACACGAGGGCAATAATGGAGGCACTCAGAATTGATAGGATTTGCCTCATGGGTTGTATGGAGGTGGCAACGTTGGTGATGTTGGGCTTCCTTATGAAAACCTAGAAAAATCGCTTCTTTCTTTGAACCACAGTTGATGTCCTTGATAGGATGAATAATAAAAAAACCAATCACAACAAGATCAAATTAGATCTAGGGAACACCTGCATTGCACTTCTCTACTAGTTCTTTGTTGTTTCCCATGTGGTTGTATTTGGTTGTGTTTCTTTAGTTTTTGTTCTTTGCCTAATCATGTATCCATTTCTCATCTATAAATGGAGTATTATAATATGTTTGCTTTTAATTCTATGTCATTGTCTTATTTGCTTTAGTTATAACCACATGCAGTTATTTACGCGGGCATCCTTTGAGGTTTTTCTTACTTTTAAAACTCTTTTATAGAAATTACAGTAACACCTCATGGTTATTCAGAATTCATAAATAACAAAAAAGGCCTGCTAAGTTACTTTAATAAAGGATTTAATTAAACCCATTAGAGACTTAATTGCTAAGCACATAATCTAAACCGCCTTGGAGTGGGTTCAAGGACACTTTTTTCCAAAGATATAACAAATAAATTTCAACAACTTTTTCATAGATTTCAACTTAGATTTCTAAGATATGTCATAAAGGTTCCAAGCCTTCTTTTGGGTATCCAAATTACAAGATTCATCCTTGTTGAGGAGAAAGGCTTCTATGAAACGAGGATAGCAATATTTTACTTATCTCTAGCCAATTACGCTATAATACGTGTGATAATACTTCCACGTGGAATAGCATTATTGGTCGGGGATAGAAAAATAGTGTTATCCCAGTTGCAACTAAGTTTTTCTCCTTATTGAGAGCTTTGCCAAGCAAGGCTTTGGTATCGGTTTTCATGAAGTGAAAACTATTAAGTGGAGGTGCAGGAGATTTCAATAGAATTGCGTCTTAGTCATTTTAATAAGCCGAAACTCGCTGATTACTAATTAATCGGAATTCAAACAATTTTGTTTTTAGTGATTCTCTTACATGTTCTTTAATTTTAATGTTTCTTAAGGAGGCTTTTTAGTTTCGGTTGTATTTATAATTCATACTGGGTTTTGATTCCTGTTAAAATTGCAGTTTTAAGACAAATTTCTACAAGTTGACTTTAGTTTAACTCAATTGCTTTTATCATTTATCCAAATGGATTTTAAAGATATTTGTATCATTCAATGGATAGAAAAGAACTTATATAGAACAAATTCTCCACTCAATTCATAATGGTCTGATTAAGAGTCAGGTTTCTTGGCATACAAGTTATTCAATTTTCATTTCATCTATTAGGCTTTTTGCAATGCTAATAATGACACGTTAACATTATTCAATCACTTCGTCTAATAGCATCTGCAATGGTTAGGATCAATGCAATATTATTGCATGAAATTGAACTAAAATAGTAAAATTTCACTTGTAATGGTGTGATTTAGTTCATTGCAATAGATGCAATTGTAATAGATTTGATGAACCCTCTATTGCAATTGCAATAGGCTAACCATGGGACCCACATGCTAATTAAAAATATAAAGAAATACATCAATTAATGCATTATGCCATTAAGAGCATCTATAATGGTTGTTCAATAGTTTTTTGAGTAGGTAGATTTCATTCCATTAGAAAATGGGAATAATGGGCATGTTATGTGTGGCCTCATTAAAACCTTTCCGGAGAAAACCACATGGGAAAAACCCCTGGGTAGGAAAGAGTACCACACATGTTGAAGAAGTACAAAATTATAAATAAATTACGTAGCATCAATGAACAAAACATCTGTAGGAAATGTGGTGGATCAGTAACCCATTCCGTTATTCCCTGGGAGTACAGAGCATAGCGAGTTGCAACCCCATTAGCATTCCTCTCCATGTACCTCAAATAGACACTCTCTTGTTTGGCCAAAAGTGTTTTACAATCCTCAATTAAGCATCCTAGGTAGGACAAATCAGCTTGGCCCTGTTATACTGAGTGTAACACACCTTGAGAATCCCATTCGATATGACACACCAGACTCGACCACTTGGCAGCATAGGCTAAGCCCTCTCTTAGTGCAATTAGCTTGGCATGCATGGAATTGGAGACCTCATGGAGCACAATCAACTTGCATGCAAGAAAAGCGCATGTATAGTTTCGAACCACCAAACCAACCCTACAAAAACCAGATTCAACATGAATAACTCCATTCACATTAATTTTAATAGCCACTACTACACAAAATAGACGACGGTGCATCTTAAAACCGTCGTTATGTTTTAAAAGACAACGGTGTTTTTAAAACCGTCATGATATATCATCTTATACACTACTAGCATTAGATTTATTTTTAAAAGATGCCGCTTGTCAATAACAAGCGTCGTCTTTTAAAACACACTGAACAAAAAAAAAAGGCCGCTTGATTTTTAAAAGACGACGCTTGTTAGTGACAAGCGTCGTCTTCTAAAAATCAAGTGGCCTTTTTTTTTGTAAAGACACGGTTTTTTTGAAAGAATTGTCATCTATTATATGTAAAGATGACGGTTTTTTTTTTTTAAAAAAAAGGTTGTCTATTATATGTAAAGATGACGGTTTTTTCAAAAAAAGGGTCGTCTATTATATGTAAAGACGACAGTTTTTTTTTAAAGAACTGTTGTTGTATAGATGACGGTTTGTGACAAAAAATCATCGTTGTTTATAGGTAAGGACGACGTTTTTGTTAAAACCGTCGTTAATTGTAGGCAAAATACGACGGTTTTTATTTACAAAAAAATGCCACTTGATTTTTAAAAGACGACGCTTGTCACTAACAAGCGTCGTCTTTTAAAACACGCTAAAAAAAGGCCGCTTAAGTGAATTCGCGCAAGACAAAATTTTAGATTTTCCCCCGTCTTTGAAAACCTTATCTCTCCCTCCTTGAAACCCTACTGAGCTCTCTAAAACACCATCATGAAACTCTCTACAAAATCATCAGAAAATCGATATCAATGAAGGAGTTGAGAGATTAAGGTCTTCGCAGATCCATAAGATGGAGAGGGAGGTTCTGTATTTGAGAATCAAAACTGGTTGGATGGTGAAGATCTCAATCTCCACGCTCTTTAACGATGATCTCCATCTCAGGCGGTCAACTCTCTCATCAACCTCAGTGGCTTGGTCCAATTAGCTTTCCAATTTTGTAGTTGCGATCTAGAAAGACTCGTCGAAATCTGTCGCACAAGCCACTTTAGGCCCATAGCTGTCGTCACCACTTCAGGCCCTCGCACTCTTGATAATTGTGAAGATCGAAACCCTAGCCTCCTACCTTTCGAAAGGTTTGATTTGAAAGTCACATAATCTCTCAATACCCTTCTATATCTTGCTAGTGAATTCTGGATTAGTCTCTTTGCGTTTCTGGTATGTTCTTTGTCTCCTTGAGATTATTTCGGCTGTAAATCGTGATGGTTGCATCAAGTTGTGAACCTTGTTAATTAGTTATGACCTTTTTCAGCCATATGTATTGCTCTTCTTCTCTGATGACGCTTTAAGGTAATAGCTTATCCAAGTATATTACTGTTGTGCTTCTTTTGAGAGATCATGCTCTAACTCTTCTTTTTTTATTTGCAGATTTATAACTTTTTCTTTTGCAGGTTTTCTATGGTCTTTTCTATGTGAGTCGTATGTCTTTTATTGTTGAAAATTTGTTACCTTCCCTTTTCACCATCATTTTATTTATATATTTTTCCATTTGCAGGTTCTCGATGGTCTTTTTTATGCTCATTTTACAAGTTTTCTATGGAAATATGGTCCAATGGTAAAATTTCTCTTCCACCTAATTTTATATGTTTATAATCTTAGCTTTTTTTCTCTCTCTGTCATTTTGATTTATTTACAGGGATGATGGAGGAGACTTCAGTTGTGCATCATTTGTATGTTTGGATGAGGAAGACTTGGATTAGGAGTACGTAGGTCTTGTTAGGAAAATATTGTACTACTTAATTACCATATGTATTGTTGGCACTAAATCTGAACAGATAGAGATGAGTGCAACTTACAATCGAGATGGACGATCGAGAGATCGATTGAATATTGGATGCCGATTCTTCCTGTCCTTGGATGCTGATCCTGAATAGAAAGAAGTCGAGACTCGCAAGGTCTATGGAACCGGTGTGGAACTAGCCTAAGACCCTCCGATGCCGAAGTAAGTTTGTTGTTTTAAGAGCTCTTGCTGTTGACCATATAGAAGTATAAAAGTCAAGCTGAAAAGTCTTACCCCTGTATTGTAGTGGAGGGGCCTATTTATAGAGGGCATTTAGTATGCTCTTAGTGCTCATTTTCGATGTGGGACTCGTGGGAGGGCCCTATGAGGTTGACACGAGTCCTTAGATATTTCAGGCGGGTGCTTCGAGGTTGATTCTGCAGAATCGGTAGGGGATACCGATTGTAGGCTGTGTTGGGCTTGTAATGATCTTTTGCTGCTTTGAGACAATATCATCAGTATCCTATGCCGATTGTCCGAGGCCTTGGGTACTTGGGCGAGTTTATAAGATCCACGTGTCGTTGTACGAGTAGAGGGTCAGATATGGTACAAACATGTATCAATTGAATATTTATATTTAATTGGTAGGAATTATGTTTGTTGTAGAATAAAGATTGGTTAACTATGTAATAACTATTGAATCTTCAAGCTTTATGAAAGAAACTATTTTTGAGTGTATATATTCATTAATAAAGCATTACGGTTGGTTTTCTAGTTAAAATCGTTGTATAGCATCATAGGAAATCAAAAGAACTAAAATGTAGTAGTTTGGAAACTTATTAGACGACGGTTTTTATAATAAATCATGGTCTTTACAGATAATTAACGACGGTTTTTATAAACCAACCGTTGTCTTTATAGAAAATTAACGACGGTTTTTATAAAATAACCTCTATTATATGTAAAGATGACGGTTTTTTTTTAAAAGGGTCGTCTATTATATGTAAAGATGACGGTTTTCATAAAAAACCGTCATCTTAACCTACAATACAC